ACGAAGTACACTGCTGAGGGGAGCAGCGGGCGGGTCAGGAGAGGTCTGCCTCACCATGTGGGCTCCTCCAGGGCAGGCGGGAATCGAACTCATGCGGAAGTGGCTTAAGATTTGTAGTGCAGTGCTTTACTCTGCTGCACCACCAGGAAAGGTCCTTTTTTTTTTTTAATGCATATAGAACTGGGATGCAGGTCAGAGGTGCAGGGGAAGTGAGAGGATTCACCAGAGACAGAGTGGGAGGCAGAACAGACATACACTGCTGAGGGGAGCAGTGGGCAGGTCAGGAGAGGTCTGCCGGGCCATGTGGGTCGCCTTCAAGGCTGGGGAACGAACTCGCACTGAAGCTGCTGCGGCTCCCTTGCAGTGCTGTACTTTAACTGGTTGGTTACATCACCAGGGAAGGCCTGAACTTTTTTTTAAACTTACTCCAAATAAAATTAAGTACAACCACATAATTAGTCTAAAAGAGATCTCATGAGAATGAAAAACTATTTTGGGGGGATTAAAAATAATGTAACATATAAATGAAAACATACTGTCAAGTCAGCTTAGACATGTATGTACACACACAGTGTTTACCTAGCAGATATGCCAATGACATTTAGCAGTAGATATACCTACCAGTATTGCCATGGTGAGCTCTTCGCGGATATCTTCCAGGGCACCAATATCTTCCCATGTCACATTGGGCACAGTAACAAAGCCCTCCCTTTTGGCAGAGGGTTGGACGGAAGATAGAGCAACAATGAAATCATTCAATTCAATGCACAGCCCTTGCAGCTGCTCCTCAGAGAGGGGGTCTTGGTTTCTTAGCAACCCCAGCAGCCTTTGTAATTCATCCTTGAAGGAGCAATTGAGCACAAAATGAAAAACCTCAAAGTTTCTTGAAAAGGTTACTTTTTGTCCTATCTAAATTATTACTGCAATATTTCTATCAACACTAAACATTATTGTACTTTAATAATTTTCTCCATTTTCATGCTTATGTTATTCTAAATGGTGAAACTGATTTGGTTAAGGAATGGTATACCAGCTATAATCAAATGAGGATGATTATATTGTATACTAGGGCTAGTATACCAAACATGAGCAGCTGGTAAATACACAATGAGGTCTGCATCATTTTTCACTTATAGCTACTCAAGAAGCAGCTGAATTTTGATGAAGTTAAAACCAAATTACCCTGGTGGCAATACAATTTCGTAGTATGATTCCTTGATGATTTATCAACTAAGTAGAAAGCAGGCACAATCTTCCTAGTATTATTGAATATTGAACTTTAAAGGCAGATTCTTGCTTTGTGAAGAAATGAATAACCTGATTCACAAAATTCTAATACATGTGTAACAGAAAAGGAACAAATCTATTATTTTTAGTAACTATAAAATATTAACAAATAATGAAGAAACAAATGATATATAAACCAAAACCTGGATCTCAGCCCTTCCTCCCTCTAGAAATAGAGGTTAGGGCAAGTCATACTTTCTTAATTTCTATGACTATAAAATGGGGAAATTTTACCTGACAAAGTTATGTGGATCAAATTATACAATATATAGATGACTACTGTACAAACTATATAATGCTACATAAATGTTACAGAGTTTTCATGTTTGCCAAACTCTTGGACTGATAAACATTGCTCTATATGCACATGACTGTCCCTCCAGAGTACTTGCAGCTGGGAACAGTGTATGGTCAAGTCAGGAGACTATCCTTGCCGGCCTAATCAAAAGGTAAAGGAAATCTAAGTAAATGCCCAATGTTCTAACAGGAAGTGGAAACTGCTATAAAAGCTAAATGGCAAGCAGTGGGGGCTGTCTGGGCCCTACGGTCTCTGCTGTGAGGACAACTTCTGTGTGAATTCTTCTATAAAACACAAAAGAAGAAACAGATAATATGTGAACAATATGTGGCTGTATTCCAATATAACATTACAAAGACAGGCACTGGGTGAATGGGTCATAGTTTGGCAACCCCTGCTTTAGAATCACATCATTGTAAAAATTGTTTATTTCGAATAAGAGTGAAAAATAAAACAACTTGTAATTTTGAAATTCTAAGCATGCAAGTTGTAATTAAGAACTTTTCTAAAAATGAAATGCCAATAAAAGAAAAAAATCACAAACCTCAACTATATTGACACATGTAGGTAGGGTAACACAAACTAGGAGTATTTAAAGGAGAGTTCAAGGTACCTGTACAGAAAGCACCTGTGTTTTAGTAGTGGGCTCAGTTCCAATCACTTCTTCCTGGCTTCTTCCAGAAGACTCAGGATCCCTCTCCTCCTGCTCCTGTAACTTCATTAAGACCCTATTGACTGCACACATGGCTGCCTCCCGGCAGAGTGCCATCAGGTCAGCACCCACAAAGCCTGGCGTTAGGTGTGCTAAGTGACGAAAATGGAAAGTCTCAGGTAGTCTTAGCTTTCTGCACAAAGTCTGAAGTATTCTGTGAAAAAGATGGAAGGGAAATTCAGGTTCCTAACCTATTAATAAAAAGTTTACAAATATATTTATTTGCAGTTTTCCTCTCTGCCAACAATATTATATTGCATATAATATAAAATCAAATAGCTGGTCCATTTGATAAATGCAAAATCATTATTACATATCCCGTCTTATAAAAGATTAAGTATCTGTTTAGTTAGGAACTCTTTTAAAATTTCAATGATGGCCCTCCCTGGTGGTGCAGCGGGTTAAAGCACAGCACTGAGAATCTAAAGCCACTTCCGCATGAGTTCGATTCCCGCCTGCCCTGAGGTGAC